TCTTTCTTTTCTAAACATCTCTAGTGTGTTTATTTCTTCATCCAAATAAACAAAACAAAACAAAAAAAGGAGAAACATGCAGCTTGATTGCTTTCCTCCTTAAAACTGCATGGAAAAAGCCACACTTTGCACTATGTGCCTACACAAATACATGAGTAAATGTTAAATTTTTAAACTTATTTTGCACGTGATTCTGCCAATCAACTGTTCCTTAGTTGGGGCTTGTCATGAAAATGGATGGCCTTTTTTTATTTCAACTGTAGTGTGGAAAAGGATCATTCAGATATTCAGAGTCAGTTTTGAACTTCCTCAATAAAGTACAGCATGTTAAGGTGAATTGATGCAGCAGAAACCGTTGCAGATCACTGAGCACTCGCTTGTTTGGTGTCTTTTGTGTTGCTGTGCTGCCTTTATTAGATTCAGTGTCTGGATGGCTTCCACAGTGTAGCTCCTTGTTCAGTGTACACCATGTTTAAATAAAAAAGTATCGGTTAATATAACATATACAAAAATACACTTCTTAGCTGATCTAATGAACAATGTATTTTAATATATCTCTAAGTAATTAGATTTATTCTTTGAAATACTTGGTTGTGGACTTTTAGACTCAAGTTTGAAACAGTTGTTTTACATAAGGTAGATACTGCTGGTGTATAACTGAAATACAATTGAGTTGTCTTACCTAGTTAATGATTTTTTTTTTTTATTTCAAAACTTTATTATCTGATATTAGAAGAGATGACTTAGTGAAGCATGAGAAGCGCTATGGGAACAATAATTGGACTGGAAGTAGCTTATATATTCAAAGAACATATAAAAATCCTGAGTATTTATTTTATGTTTAAGAGGCTAGAGTTCAGTCAGTATATGCCACAGAAAAGCATAATGTTCTTGGATGTCTCTTCCAAAGGGGGAGAGAGAGAACAAGAGAGATAGATGAGTACTTCCTAAAAGTGTTATTTTTATTTCTGTAGTGGTTGAGATTGTGGCTCTGTGACATTACATTTAGGGACTATGGATTCTTTTAGTGAAAGAATTGGATGGTTCCTGAATGCTATCTACATCTTATGGTTTATAGGATTGCCCAAACTAGAGCAGAAAGAACTTGATAACAGTTGCCTTTCCATCTCTAATCCATTTTTTTTTTTCTCCTGTGGAATAATGAGAATTATACTTAGAATAGTGAATTTATGTCAGACCCATGTTCTTTTCAGAAGGGCCTGTCCTGACATCCTCTTTGTGCTTGGTGAGCACACCTGTGACAAAAAGTAGTTGAAACCATTGGAAGATGTTTCTTAAAACATAAAATGTCTATTCTACTTTTTGGGGAACAAAATTAAAAATTTGTCTTTCCAATTTGAGAGTCCTTCCTTACTAGAACAGTTAGAATCTAATTTTTCCAAAACAGTAATGCTGGGGTGTCTTTGCTGTCCAAATTGCTTCAGCCTTGTTTCTCAAACTGCTGCTGTTTTCTTGCAGCCTGTCATTTTTACTTTTGCTGGTAGTTCAGTCACAGGATGGGAAGTCTTTTGATGGGCGTTTAAAGTTTTATTTCAGCGAAGTTTAGACTTACACAGTTAGATGTCTGCGTTCTGAGGCAATCCTTTTAAGTTCAACTTATAACTAATACTGAGAAACAGGATTTTCTTTGGATGGGATTAATCTGATTTATTTTAGGTTTCTACTTAGAACAAGACAGCTAATACTCTGTCACTACTTGTTTTTCTGTGTTGGCTGTGAAAGGAGATGAAGATGCCCACCTTCGTTAGGTGTATCTTCAGCTCTTTTGTTCGTTTAAATCCTGGTATGAGAATATTGTGTGAAATGGTAGGTTTTGAAAGAGAAGGACAAAAAAGAAGTAAGATAAGAGAGATGAGAAAGAGAAGATAAAAAATCTCTTTCATTTGTTATCTTTTCATGCCCACCTGTAGAAGAGTTACTGTATTGTACTATGGTTTATAACTTCCTTTTTGTTCAGAAATGCGATAGCACTATCATGAAAAGAAAAGATACTCAAAGGCAGGAAATTTGCAAAGGAACACACTATATAAGTAGTCGTAATATTAGTCTTTCAGCAAGTGTTTAGTGAAGGAGGGCCTGAAGACTGCTTCTTTCAAGGGGAATAAAGTTCAATATGTTTGTGTTTTATATAAATATGGGGAACTCTGCTTCATTTAATTGTTTTTTTTCTGTAGATATTATAAGGCAGAGAGAGAATGGGTTACTGCTTTTTTCACTGTTTAAAATATTAAAATGAAAATAAATATTAACTAGACATTTTCCCTACTGGGGCACTGGTTTATGAATATGTAATAAACATAAACTGTATAACTGTAAGACATTTTTATGAATTAACATGTATAGAGTATACCAAAAAAATTGTTCCTGCTCTAGAGGATACATCATCTTATTGTCTGTCTGGAAGAGTCTTTCTTTTCTAAATTAATGGGAATATGCATCCTTAATTTCCATTTATGAACTGGTAAAGATTGTGGGGGTTTCTTGTTTGTTTTAAAATCTTAAGGGGACATCAGGTTGGAGGTAGATAGGTAGATACTTGATATTGAATTTTTTCACAGGTTTAAAATAAACTTGTAATCTTAAATTGACTTTTTTTGTCCATACTACGTCTAATAATTTTTGGTCTTTCTGTGAGTAAATCTTGTGAGTACTCTTAGTAATTTTTCTTGTAGTAGACTATTAGTAAAGGACATGTTGGCATTAATAATAATTTACTACTGTTTCTGGACTTTGAGGGACTTTCTGTTGTCTTCTCTTTGAGCTGCAGAACTGGCATTTCAGTTTGGATTAATTTTGCCAAATGGACATCATCTTAGCTACTTGCCTAATCTGAGTTAGGTTTCTTAATTGCTAGATGGTTTGGATTTTTTCTTGATGTTGGTCTTTTTGCCTTCAATCCTTTCTTGTTATCTCCGTTGTGTTCAAGCATCTTTCTATGAAAAAACTCTTAGATTTTATATTATGCTAGGCTTTCATCTTAACATGCTTTTTGTAAAGGAGTTAGAAGGGAATTCATAAGTGAAATGAATCTAAATTTGTGTTAGAAGCTCCCTTTAACAAGGGGAGTTTAATAGAGAAAGTGATGGGAACAGTACAAAGATTTTGGAGGGGAGTATTATGGCCTATTACTGCAGTGTTACTCCCAATTATGCCTATGTTACCCCCATTTTCCACAGAGATTTTGCTGTCCATTTCTAGGGGAGGAGTATGATAGAGATTTCTGGGGGGTCTGTTGTCTTCCTTGCTGGGAGGAATATGCTGCTGATGTTGGGTAAGGAGCTGCTTCTTCACGAAAGGATCTGCTATTAAAAAAATTTACTGTTGCAGTCTGCTACTCACTCTTTCTTCATTGTTTTGCAAAGCAGTGTTACACCTGAGTATTATTTAGGCTGTTTAAAATATGTTGCACACTTGTTTGTTGATCTTCTGTAAACTGGGTTTTTGAAACTACTCCAATGCAAGGGTAGCATTCCTTTTAATAACCAGTAAGTGACTATTGGTGCATTGTTTACAGTCCGGCGCTTCTGAGTTCACTGTGTACTTTTATTTTACGGAGTCTCTGCTGCAGTCCCCTGTTTTACTTACCAGGTTTCCCAAAATCTGACCAATGTTTTATTAGCATGACCTAATCTCCTTATCCCACAGCTATTAATATTTCACAGTCCAAATCCAATGATCCCTTAGAAGACACACACCCACATCTAGACACCAGTGCAAACAAGAATGCTTTAGTAACACCTTGCTACCAGTGTTGTCTAGTAGTCGTAAAATCACTGGTATGTTAAAATTAATTTATAACAGGTGTAATGCTCATGGTTATTACCAATTGACAAATAAGTGCTTTAAGATAGCATAATCAAGTGTGACAACCTAAAGATGTACTTGGGCTTCTGTAATGACATACTGCAAAGCTAAAAGATAATAGTGGAGTTATAAGATATTACATATTCTGTGTTCTTTCTGTTTATTCAATGCTACCTTTCAACTGTGTAACAGTGGAAATTCTTTCCTTGGTATATCATAATATGCTTAAATAGAATAAGCGCACCTCTCCATCCCTGCGAAGAATCGAGGGCTGGGAAAGATGCTGCTTTGATTCTCATCTTGATACAGTAAGGCACTGCGAGATGCTGCAACAGGAAAGCTACAGCATTTACTCAGAGCATTCCCAGCTCATGTTAACTCTCTTCTGGGGCTGTATGGGAGCTTTGGGAGTTAGCTGGCAAGGCAGCATGTTCTGTGTTCTTTTCAAAATGGATTAATTCAGGTGCCATGGTTTAAAAATAGAATTTTGTGGCTTAGGTGGTAAAATTTCAATTCATAGCAAAATGTGAATTTCTTTTAACACACTTGTGACAACAGAAAGACTTGGTTTCCATGAGTTACACACCCTTGAGATTCTGTTCTTTTCCAGTGCTGAGAATCATGGGGGCTTTTTAAGGTGGGGTGGGTGGTGGGAATCATCTGTTTCCTTTTGTCTGATTTCCTTCTGATTCCAAATGCTTGCCTGAAAAACAAATCCTCCTTGAAAAGCTGTCGCCAGCTTTCTAACATGGTGTTCTAAAAAGTATTTTTCAGGGCTTTTTCTCCTTTCAAGACTGGCAACTGTGTTTGTTGCAAACATAGATATGTTCTGCAGACATTGTTCATACATAGCTTGAGGGCTCTCAGAGTGCTTCTGATGATCCTCTTTCAGGTGTGAAACATTTAGAATGAAGCAATTTATTATATATTCTGGTTAACCAGGCGTGATTTGAGATTTTCAGTCTGCAAGAAATTAAGTATTCATTAACATTTAAAACCATTAGATGACACAGTTGAGCAATAACGATTAATCTAGTCTCTGTTAAAGTAAATGTGCATTGAAGTTTCTGATTAGACGATAAGTGGTGGTTGTCTTTGTTTTCAATTATTTTCCTCATCCTTGCTTTATTTATTCTGTGCACATCATGACTTGTCTTTCTCTTTTGCTGAAACAGAAGAAGAAGAAGTGGAAAATTTTGATGTTTCCAGTCTGCCTGAAGAAGTGCTGCAGAACATAGAAGCTGACAGTTACTGGTGCATGAGCAAGTTGCTTGATGGCATTCAGGTAAATTGATTTTTCCTGTCTGTAAGTAGTGGAGATAACCGATTAATGTCATGGCTTTGAACTACTTTAAGGTTGTTGAGAAAGAGTACATCTATGAAAAACAGGGGAGAAGTAGATTTTCCCATTGGAGAAATCTGCTGCAAGTTTGGCATCGAAAGGAAAAGGGGGAGAAAAAAAAATGTGTGCAACTTCTTTTCATCGAAATGTCTGCATGTTTCACTGTAGTATGATGTTCTAGAGCAGTTGAAATCTCTAATTCTACAGGCATGTTGTGCACCTCAGTCACCAAGCATGGAGAATGTTTGCTTATGTCTCCAAGTAAAGTGGTCGCACTGAGGTGATGAAAAGCTGGCTTATTTATTAATTTTTAAGACATTAATATAGCAACATAGAAACAATTGCTTTCTTATAGTTCCTGAAATTATCTTCATATTTCTAAAACATCCATTTAAAACTTGATACTTATGCTACTCCGCTGATTGTGTCAGTTTTTTTAATGTGGAGTAGCTATAAATGCAGGCACAATTTTCTGTTAGATGCAGCAGGTTACAGACTAAGAATGGTGGATTTGTGTGTGCATGTTTGCATTTGTTGGCATGTAAGTTTATGAAGATTAGAAGGTTCTACAAGAAATAGTAAATATGTAGCTGAACATCTTGCATTCAGGAGGAGAAATCCATACCATCTGCCATAGATTAAATGGGAGTCCAAACATCTGTATTTCATACTTAACATATTAAAAAACTTAACACACTGTGCTGTGACGCTGAAGCACTTTAAAGTAGAAACTTTGGACTTTTCAGTTTACAAAGAAGTTACCTTGAATTAAATTTTCCAGGCTTTGTTGCGATAGGCATCAAATAATATTTATCTAATATCTGTTTTTCAGGTCTGTGTCATTTGAGATAAACATTTTGAAACTTTCTAGAAAGTAAAAATAATCTGATTTTGTAAATTCAGAATATATGCACTAAAATAATAGTCATCTTGAATTCCTGGCTTACAATGGGACCAAAATTGACTTTTGTTAGAAATGTGAAAGTTTCTGAAAGGTGATGATTTCTTTTTTGCACTGGCAACAAAGAATTGTTTTTAGCAATGTATGGTAGGCAGATGTTTGCAGTCAGGGTTCATTTGCTGCTTTCAGTGAGCTGATTAGAAAATAAATTATGGTTACAAATATTTAGCAGGTTGCTGCTGCTGTTTTTCTTTTTTTTATGTTCATACCTTTTCGTTCTGATTATCCCCTGCTTTTAGATTAGCTACTTGCATAGTGTAGAGGATCTTCTCTGTGAAATTGTTTCAGTATTATTGTGGTGACAGTAGAAATTGTTACAGAGATGGCAAAACTTTGGCTGATTTATTCCTAACATTCTCTTAAAAGATGAAGCAATGGACAAGTGCTTCTACTGTATTTATTAGATTAAATCCTTTTGAAAGGTCCCATGTAACTTTATTTGTTTTGAAATGCTCTGGATAAATGCTTGAAAATTTGAGGATTTTTTTCTCCAGGTGATTTTGATGTAGCAAAGACCCTGGAGGTGGAATTCATGTGTGTGGAAAATGGCTATTCTCCAATCATTAATAAATAATCATAAAATGTGAATAACCATAAAAATTCCTATGAATTGAAGCTGCACTTTTCAGTGAAACTAAATTAAAGTTTTCCACGTTATTTTGATAGCATTTTTTTGACAGATACATCTTTCCTTACGGTACTTAATATTTTTAAAAGTGTTTTAACGTATTCTTGCCTATGACTTATGTTTTAATATGAATGTTTCATTGGCTAAACCATGTTGGCTGAGGCATATTGTGAATTTAAACTTGTAAGAGAGTTAATTTTTGACAAAACTGGTGTAAAATCGAATCAACAAACAGAAGTCTAACTTCTTTGAAAGTATTTTAAGTGTATTTTTCCTGGTTAAAGGTCAAATGAGTAGTAGCAAATTGAATTAAATGCAAATTGAAAAGCGTAGTTGTCTTATGTTGATTCCTGTAATAAAATGTTGGTTTGCTTATTTCAGTCTTAGAACTGCTACGTTTTCCAATACTTGGTCACATACCAAAAATATATGAAAACCTAATAGAAAAAGAAAGTGAGAACTTGAAATTTACTTGAAAGGAAGAAAGTCAGGTAAAGAAATGCAAGCCCTTCAACTATTTTACCTGTTTCTGGAACATCTTCTGTCACAGGCCTGCTGCTCGTTTTTTTTCTAGAAAGGGAAATTCAGAGATTACATAATTTCTCCTTAAAATTCTGTTTTCATACAAAACCATCAAGTACTGATGAACAAAGTAGTGAAACTAATTGTAATGGAATTAAATTTTCATCGATGCAATTTAAGCTCTTATATAAGAAGTGGAATGGTTATCAATTGGATGTATTCAAGGATTCACACATCTATCAAAAGCAGGCTTGAAAGATTATGCTAGTGGTGTGACTAATGATGTTACAGTTAATTCAGTGCAACTGCAGAGTGCTGCTGAAATGAAAGGGTTTGCTTGTTTGTTTTTTTTTTTTTCTTCCATTTTTGGTTTTGTTTCCCTTCTTTGTTGATACCGCTTTACTTATGCTAGAACATGTTAAGATAGTTGCAGGTTGAGTTGATTGGGAGAACTAATACAACAAGAAATTAACTCACTGAAAGGAAGGGCATAAAAAACCCAGAAAATAAAGATTGTTTTGCTGAAGGAATGCCATCCAGAGGGACCAGGACAAGCTTGAGGAGTGGGCCCATGCGAACCACATGAAGTTCAGTAAGGCCAAGTTTAAGGTCCTGCAGCTGGCTCAGGGCAATCCCTGATGTTAATACAGACTGAGGGATGAATGGACTGGGAGCAGCCCTCCCGGGAAGGACTCAGGCGTGCCGGTGGATGAAAAGCTGGGCATGAACTGACAGTGTGCACTTGCAGCCCAGAAGGCCAACCATGTCCTGGGCTGCATCCAAAGCAGAGTGGCCAGCAGGTTGAGGGAGGGGATTCTGCCCCTCTGCTCTGCTCTGGTGAGACCCCACCTGGAGTCCCGCTTCCGGCTCTGGAGCCCTCAGCACAGGAAAGACATGGACCTGTGGAGTGGGTCCAGAGGAGGCCACAGAAATGATCAGAGGGCTGGAATACCTCTTATGTGAGGACAAGGTGAGATTGGTGGGGTTGTTTGGCCTGGAGAAGATGCTGGGGAGACCTTATTGTGACCTTTCAGTACTTAAGGGGGGCTTATAAAAAGATGGAAAGAGACTTTTTACCAAGGCCTGTAGTGACAGGAAAAAGGCAACAGTTTTAATCTGAAAGAGGATAGATTTAGATTGGACATAAGAAATACACTTTTTTTATGATGAGGGAGCCCAGAGAATTTGTGGATGACCCATCCCTGGAAACCTTCAAGGTCAGGTTGGATGGGGCTCTAAGCAACCTATTCTGGTTGAAGATGTCCCTGCTCATTGCAGGGGGGTTGGACTAGATGATGTTAAAAGGTCCCTTCCAACCCAAGCCATTGCATGATTCTGTGATTCTAGCTGACTTCATTCTGGAAAGTGTCACCATTCTGGAAAGATCACCAAATCCACTGGCAGAGGGCAAGAACTAGATGGGTATGGGTGAGGTAGCACCTGGAATCGTTAAACTTAAGATCAAATCATGCCCCAAATTGCATAAGCTGATTTACATCCAATTGTAATAATCCCATGCTCCTGCTTGCACCTGAATGCTCATTGCTGTCTGTCCCTTGCTGAGTGCTGCCTGTTGTGAGCTGATTGATGGAGATGAACTGCCTGACAGCACAACAAAACAAAAAAGCACTCGTTGGTTTAAGGCGTGAACACCTTGATTAGGTATCATAGCAAAGAAATGAGCAGAACTACACAGTAGGGCCAGGGCAGGATCATGGCAGCTGAGACACAGATTTACTTTAACAGCTGTAGATTCTCAACTTGCCAAGCTTGTTGCCAGTACACAGTAGTCTAGATGATCCACTTCAGTCTCTACTCGAGAAAGTTGCTGCTGATTGTTTCCTGGTAATAATCATTAAATTAGTTCTTACTGCTCCCTTAGTATTTTCCATGTGGTCTACTGTAGATAATGGAATGTCTTTATAGCCAACTGGGAAAAACCGCTTCTCTCTCACAAAGCCACAAAACCAGACAACATAAAAGCACAAAACCAAGGGAGAATCCCAAACAAGATTAGTGTTATTATGTTTCCTTTTTTCTGTGAAAATATGTCATAAGAGACTCATGTATGACTACTGATACTTTGTCTGAAATGTTTGAATAAACCGTACAAGGATTTTAAAGAAGATGAATATTTGACATGTGATAACTGCAATTTAAGAATCTCTGCAGAATATTTCTGTTAATTTATTCATCAGTGTAGGCTTTCATTTGATGTTGGCCTACCAGTATTGGATAAGTTTAAAGAGTGTACTTTGATAACAGTTAGGATCCTGTTGTGAAATTTTTGACTAATACAAGCTGTTTTTATTTTGGTTTTTGTTTGTCTTTCCAATGTGTGAGAGTGTAATAGAAAAATGATTGTATTTGTATCCCTTTATTATTCTTAACCGAAAACTCATTTATTTTTCCAGTGCACCCCGACTGTCTCATTTTCTGGGTTCCAGAATTGTCAAAGGTGTTATTAAGAAATATGTATTTCTTGGCTGAGTTTTGCTACACATAGTATCTATTATTTCTCTTTTCCTCACTCATCTTAGCCCCCTCCCTTTTTTGTCTAATGTGACTGTGTATTTTTAGTATAATGGCACATCTTTGAACCACAGGGACCTATGGATTAAAAGACAGTGTTGACATTGAGCAACATGACAATCACTTCCTGACATGCTTACAGTTCTTAGCCTAGAGAAGAAATAAAAAACTGGGGTCAAATCACCTGTTGCTTTAGCAGATTCACTTGTGCTGTTTTCTGGTGATATGGGGTTTTCTATGCAGGTATGTGTTTGACACCAGTTAGTTTTGCAGAACTTTTCCAGTAGTTTAATATTGCAC